AGAAAGGGATTGCAGTATATGTTAAAGAGGATTTGAAAACAGATTTAATATGGTTGGATTCTGAGGGAAGAACTCTGGTTTTGCAGATCTGAATTAATGCCATCCCAATTCTCTTAGTGGTAATCTACGCCCCGAACGGAGATTGAAAAGAGTTTTTTAAACATCTTTATGGAAAAATAGTAGGATTGGAAAAAAGAAATATTTGTATCATAGGAGACTTTAATTCTGTTGCTGATTATCAAAAAGACCACAGTAATGGGGGGAAGAACAAAGGGGGGAAAAGAGAGCTTCCGAAGATATGTATGGAAATGATGAAGGAGTTAAATTTGATTGATATATGGAGAAGATCACATCCCGAGAAAAAACAATTTACATTCTATTCAAATCCTCATCAAATATGGACACGAAATGATATGGCATGGATGAATGGGGAAATAGCAAATGTGATAAAAGGGATTGAAATTTTACCTAATGAATGGGCAGATCACAATCCAATTCAGATAATATGGAAGGGTAGGGAAAAACCCAAGAAAAGATGGACGTTAAATACTCAGTTAATAAGAGAAAAAGAATACACCAACAAACTCAAGGAGGAATTAAATTATTTCTTAAAGGAAAATGATAATGGAGCAACTACGAAACAAAACATTTGGGAAACAATGAAGGCAGTAATAAGAGGTATAACAATCTCTTATAACGCCAAGAGGAATAAGGAAAAATACGCCCAGCAAAATAAATTACAACAAAAAATTAAGGAATTAGAAACTCAATTACAGAGTACCTCAAAGGATTCAAAATTGCAAAATCAGATAATAACTAAACATAAACTGAATTTAATTGAACAAGAGAGAATGATTATAAATTTGAATACAACTAGACAAACTTATTTTGAGCATGCTAATAAGCCAGGGAGATGGCTATCATATAGACTAAAAAAAAGGAAAGAAAAGAGATTGATATACCACCTAATAGATGGAAAGGGGGATATACAACAGGAGATAGAACAGAAAAAAGAAATTGCCCATAAGTATTTTGAAGAGTTATATAAAAAGGAAGAAGTTAACAAAGATAGAATAAGAAACTATTTAGATAAAGTGAAGGATAAAGCAATTGGGGAAGAAATGGAAAAATTATTAAACAAAGACATTACTTGGTTTGAATTGAAATCAGCAATAGAGAAGCAGAAAAACAATAAATCCCCGGGACCAGATGAGATTCCAGGGGAGCTGTACAAGGCAATAGCAGAACAAATAGGACCTCTTATGGTGGAAGTTTTTAATGACATCTTATTGGCAGCCAGGATGCCAGACTCATGGAGTAGGGCATTGATTTCGCTGATCCCGAAGGAGGATTCGGATCCCCGATATATACATAATTATAGGCCGATTTCACTGTTAAATACTGATTACAAAATATTCACTTCAAGTAGACTAAAAAGAATGTTAAACGAGCATATATATGAAGATCAAAATGGATTTCTCCCGACCAGACAAATCAGGAACAACTTAAGAATAGTACTAGATGTCTTAGAATTTTACAAAACCCACCCCGAAAAACAAATTGCACTTATGTTTTTAGATGCAGAGAAGGTCTTCGATAATTTAAATTGGCAATTTTTAATCCAAAAAATAGAACTAGAAGAAGTTATGGGAATACAAGTGATAAAGAAAGTTAAATACTTAGGAATATGGTTGACAGCACATTGTAAGACACTTAAGGAAAATAATTATGATAAATTGATGCAACAGGTAAAGAAAGATTTAGAAACATGGGGCAAGCTGCAACTTTCATTATTAGGCAGGATTGCTGCTATTAAAATGAATATTCTTCCAAAATTCCTATATATATTTCAGACGATCCCAATTAAAGTACACAAAATTTTTTTTGAAGATCTTAATAAAATAACTGTAAAATTTATCTGGCAAGGGAAAAAACCTAGAATAAATTTAAAGGCAATGCAGGATATGAAGAGCAGGGGAGGGCTGGCACTTCCAAATTGGGAGTTGTACTATAGTGCAGCCTCTTTAGTATGGTTGAAGGAATGGGTGAATTTAACCAATAAGAGAATATTATTCTTAGAAGGCCATGACTTGCAGAGGGGGTGGCATGCTTTTTTATGGGATGTAGGGAAAACTAGCCAGAAATATTTTCACAGACACCTAATCAGAGACTCATTATTAACTAATTGGAAGAAAATACAGAAAAAAACACTATTTAAAAATACCAATTTGGATTTCAACAGTGGAGGAGATGATTCACCCAAATAATCTAAATATCACTAAAATGATTAAATATAAGGACCTATTGGATACGCAAAGAAATTTGAAATTGCGGCAAGAACTTCAAGAGCAGGGACTAAAAATTGATCAGTGGGCGTATCTTCAAATTCAAAGTAGATATAAACAGGACAAGAAAGAATTTGGAATTACCAATAAACTCCAGCAATTAGATAAAATTTTATTAGGATCAGGCAAAAAAAGTATAACAAAATTTTATAATTATTCATTAGAAGTAGAATTAGAAGAAGAAATTGTAAAAGGGAACATGATAGCCTGGAGTAGGAATATAGGACGTAGCATCAGCATAACAGAATGGGAAAATGTTTGGGGTAGAAATAATAAAATTACAAAATCGGTAGCATACAAAGAAAACGCCTATAAAATGTTTTATAGATGGCGCCTTCCTCCTTCGAGATTAGTGAAGATGCACCCCAATATGAGTCCGAATTGCTGGAAATGCAAAAAAGAGGGAACTTTTTTCCATATGTAGTGGTCCTGTACAGAAGCTCAAAAATATTGGCAGAAAATTAGAAATTGGCTGGAAGAAATGACAAGAGAACAGATCAAATTCAAACCAGAGTCCTTTCTGTTAGGGATCTTTGATAAACAAATATCAAAAAAAGTGAAATATATAATAATACACATTTTGACAGTGGCCAGATTGGCTTTTGCACAGTGTTGGAAGCAACCTCATGTTCCATCAGAGCATATGATCATTCAGAAAATTTCAAGTTGTGCAGAAATGGACAAATTAACTTTGGCATTAAAAAATAAAGACACTTCAATATACTACAACAGCTGGAACTGCTGGTACAAATGGATAGACCAAAGATAAACTTCACACTAAAAGGCAGAAGAGGATAGGATAGATCCATAGTAGTGATACATAGATATATGTAAGGATTAGGTATGTGTATATGGCATAAAATAAAGATAAAAAAGAGGTCTTACAAACTGTTGAAGATGAGAATGTTTTTAATTGTTTTCTATTTTTTTCTTTCTATTTTCTTCTCCCTTCTTTTTCTCTTTTTCATTTATGCATGTGTTGTTGGTTTGTTTTAATCGTAAAATCAATAAAATTTATTTTAAAAAATAATAATAGAGGGGTGGGGTGGGGCAACTTAACTGGTTTGCACAAACTGGTGTGAACCGCCTGAATCCCACCACTTCCCTCTCTCCCATTACGCAGAAAGCACACAGAGAAAGTAGGGAACACTAACCTTTGTAAATGACCTCAGTCTCATAAAAATAATTGTATAGGTATTCATTGCTGTATAGATATTTCATTGATATTGATTGATTTTTAAAAGATGTCAAATGTTCCTGCAGAATCTCTACCATCACTATATTGAAACTCTAAAAAAAATCCAAAAATAGTTGGAGAAAAAAACTAGATTCATATTCAATTAGTTTGATGTTTTGTGACATAAAATGCACGATTTTCTCTTCATCTTTTCATACTTACTTATAAATAACTTAAATTTTAGAATACTTTTCTAGCACTTGAAATGTTGAAACTTAGTAGTAATGTACTTCTATATTCTCCACTGAAAACCAGATATTGCTATACTGATGGATTAAAATCACTGTGAAAACTATTGCAGAGGTTGAAACCAAGATTCATTTGCAATGGAGTAGAGCTGTGGAATTTCCTTATATATTTCAAATATCCAAAATATATTAGCAATGCAATCAAGAAGTAATAACCCAACAAATAGTATTCAATTAAGGGGAAAATGGGCTGTTCTTCATCATTATATAGTTAGTAATCCTTGAATCAATGAATGGCAGAGGTAATTCTGAGGGCTATTCATTTTAAATGTTAGTATTTAAATTCAGCACAGAAGTATCAATAGATATGTCAAAAGATCCTGTGATAATATCTATGACAATTTGAAAAAAAATATTTAAGAATGTCCCTCTTTCTTCCTTATCTAACCCTAGTTTGAGATCATGAGCTGGTTATTATTGCTGATATAAAGATGAAATAGAAATTATAATTAATCTATTTTTTTCATTCAGATTCACATTTACAACTGGAAACTTTCCGAAACCTTAAAGTATAAATTAAATGACACTAAAATAAGATTAATTGCATTTTCTTTCTTTTTTTTGTGACACGAACAAAAAAAACCTAAGGTATTTTTGGATTATTTCTAAAATGACTTTCTGAGTTTTTAAAATAACTTTAATATTATGAAGTTCAACTGTTCTTCTTCGTTGCTAGGAAACACTACAGTGGATGAGTTAATGATGAGGCTGATGGCTGCAATGGAGATCTTCAGTGCTCAGCAGCAAGAAGACATAAAAGATGAGGTGAGACCTGGACATCACTACAGACAGCTATTGCATTTAGAGTAAGGGTCTTAATATTTATAAATGCTATTGCATTTAGAGTAAGGGTCTTAATAGAGTAAGGGTCTTTTTAATATTTGCTTGAAGAGGTTTGAAGGTTGTTCCTATAAGAGTGAAAGAAACTCACAATAACACAAGAATGTATTCGGTCCATCAGAATAGGAATGCTATCCATCAGATATTCTAAGAATACTGCTCTGCCTCCATGCAAGATTTGAGACATAGATAAAATGAGATCAATATTCACATTTACCTCTTCTACAATATCTCCATATTTATGACATAAAATATCAAATTTGAAGATAGTTTAATTTAAGGAATTGATCACACATTCTGTGGAATAAAATACCTCTATTTTTCACAGTCTTTCAAATCAGTTGTAAATACTGTTTTTGAATATTGAAAAAAATGGGCAAAACTGTGTTAGGAAACTATACATTTATTGTAGTGGAAATTTTTTGTGAAAATACCAGCTATGAACTTAACATATTCTTTGAATGAAAACTTGTTTAATTGTAATTGTTTTGATGAGCATTGCTATATTTTTGACAATTTTTTAAATTGGAAAAATATGCTTTAGCAATTAAATATGTGTTACTGCTGTGATTGCCTTATTAATTAAGCATCTAAAATTAAAAGTAATTGCTTCTTACCCACTACCCACTAACAATAAGGTGAGATGTAATTTACAGAAACCCATACAAGATTGACCATTGCCTGGGTCAACAATGCACTAGACGTTGGAGTTCCTGGACATCTGATTACAAATGGATTACAGGACTCAGGACTTTTGGCTAAGCAACCAGGACCACCAAGTGCAGGTCTACTAGAGGAAAAATTGTTTATCCATTGCAAATATACAAAGATTGAAAACAAAGAATGTTATTGAAAGATTGAATGAACTGTTATTATAAATCAAGTCCCAATGAAAAGAGAATTTCTGAAGAGAACACATAGTTCAGGGGAAAACAACGTCTAAAATAAGAAATAATAGAACAGATAAAGCAGATCAGCACTGAGTTATAATACAAAATAAAATATTCACATACATAGAATTGGAAGAATTGCAAAAGATCTACTTAGGGCAAAGAAACTGAAGCCTCACCAGAAGTAACTCATACTGTGAGTTACCATGGGGAGTTGGTCATAGATGAAACTAGTATAGGTATTCATTCATTCTCATTCCTGAACAAATCACTGTTTCCTCTGCCTTCTCCTCAGAAAGAAAGAACAAATCCCTCTAAATAAAAAGCAAAATGAATTGAAACAAAAAAAAAATTGAACATCTGGAACAACACAAAAATAGCAGAATAATGTTGCCAGCACTGAAGCTTATTAGCTAGCATAAATATTAAAATACTATAATATGAAATATAAGCACCAGCTCACTGCAAGAAACAAATCAGCTAATATATAGCAGTTATAACTGAATATTTCGGATGCAAAATTAATAAAAACAAAAGAGCCAGCGTGCCACAAAAATAGATTGAAAATAAGATCAGATGCAAGCAAGCTGGAACAAATGAAAGAGAAGAAATTGAAGAAGACCAAAGCATATCTGATCAAGAAGTATTATCTAGAGCAGGGCTGTCAAACTCACGGTCCGTGGCCCAGATGCATCATGCACTGGCCATGCCCCTGCCCGGTTTAGCAAAGGTTGAAAAAGTCCCGATTCGTCATGTGATGCCACTGTGATGATGCAAGTTTGACACCCCTGATCTAGAGGAACAGAAATCAAGGAAGCATTAGAAATATAAAGAGCAAATAACAGCAGTAGCCAAATAATTCAGCATATAAAAAGTATGATTGCACACTATAGGCAGAATCTCCAATTTCAATTGAATCAGAAATGTTTCTATGAAACATTGTCAATGAACAAACTGTAATCAAACAATAAAGAAGAAACATACAATTCTGAGCATAGTTGTGGGACAACCCTCAAAAATACAACAAAAAGCATACAACATTCTATTCTATTCTTTAAAAAAGCAGCTTGCATAAAAGAGGTGGATATGAATTTTTTTATAAAGCTGAAATGTAAGATTTTGTAATAACAGCAGAAATGGTGAAGAAAAAGGTAGGGAAAATCAACAATTGGTCAGCATCATGTGAAGATAAACTGCATGGTTTTTTGTTGAAACATCTGGCTGGTCTACATACACTCGTTGCCAAGCAATTAAGAGCAAACTATAAGGAAGTGAATTTGAAGATTGATTAACATCTGGCAGAACCTACCTGATACAATGAAAGATTTAACAAAAGAGGCAGCCCCAGGCAACTACAGGCCAATTACCTTTCAATTTGCTAACTAAGGTTGTAGTTGGACTGCATCTAGTTGAAAACGCTCTTTTCAACATGGGCAGAAAGAAAAGTGTCCTAACAACAGAGAAGCTCCTAATTGACAAAATTATTTTATAAAATTGCACAAGAAGGAAGATCATCTTGAATGTAACTTGGACTGAAAACCGAGAGGAATTGGTTGGCTTGGATTGATTGCAAATAAGCATTTGATTCCCTGCCATGTGATAGGATAATAAAAATGCCTAAAAATAACAGAAGTCAGTACACAAATCAGGAGTTTTGTGCAAAGATCAATGACACAATGGAAGATGTAATTGCTGGTCAATGTGATAGACTGGGAGAGGTTAATATTAAGAGAGTATACTATCAAGGATACTATCACACTAATGCAATGATTCAATGCAACTGTCAACAATACTGAACGGTTCATGGCTATCAAACATCAAAAACATCTGCCAGGCTATCCCACCTCTTTTATATCTGAAGCTGTATGGAAAAACACCATCTCAAATAGAATCACTGCTCAGCACTGCCCATATATGAACTTTGGATTAGATAAAGGTGCCAACTTACTATCAAGAGAGGAAAAATATTAAAAAGTGAAGGAATCAAGATGCCTGATGGAAATAACATCAAGAATCTGAATGAAGAAGATTACTATGAATAGCTGGGCATTCTTCAAGCTGACAACATCAAGCAAACTGAAATCAAAAAGAATGTTAGAAGTGAATACACCATGAGAGTGAAGAAGATCTAAAAGTTCAAGCTCAATGAAGGAAGTCATATCAATGCAAATCAACACCTGGGCAATTCCAGTCATTAGATACACAGCTGGAATAATGGACTGGACTCAAAGCACTCCACTAAAAGCCCTAGATAGGAAGACCAGAAAAATAATTACAATGAAGCATGTCCTTCATCCTCAACAATGACATTGACAGATTCTACTTACCAAGGAAAATAGGTGGCTGTGGAATTTCCAAAAATGTACTTCCAAACTTTCATGGGATAGCTGAAGAATAAGAAAGGCCATTGAAAGAATATCTGAAGGACAGTGAAGAAATTAGTACGCCACAAAAGCTTATTGAATATTGGAGAGACTAAACTTGCATTTAAGAAAGACCAAATGAAGACTATAAAAGACACGTGGCAAGGCAAAATATTATATGGCTAATACACACACAAACACGCACAAACTAGCAGGCAAAGCAGATAACAGGAAGATCTGCCAATGGCTAAGAGCAGGAAAGTTAAAGAAAGAGACAGAGGGCCTAATTCTGGATGCACTAGATCAATAAGAAATTCATACAAAGCCAGACTTGAAGAGATAGCAATAAGCGGCAGGTACCACCTCTGCAAAGAAACTGAAGAAAGTGTTAGCAGCTGCAAGAAAATTGCACAGACTGACTACAAACAACAGCATGACAAAGTGTCGTGCCCTTGTTGGAGTCTGATTCTGAGGGGGAGATTGAGCAGCTGACAGGGAGTGGGAGTGTGGTTCTGCTGGCTGTGGAAGAAACGGGGAAGGGCACAGTCAGGCTAGCATTCAGAGGAAGACCCAGGACCATCCCCTCTTCATCCTAGGGCACGCAGGGAGGAACGGAGCAGGGAGCATCGTGGCTTACGAGCGAGAAAAAGGCCCTGATCCCTTTCATTAGTTGCAGCTGGGAGAACAGGATATAAGTGGGGTCGAGGCTTATCTGGGTTTTGGCATCCTCCCAACTGTGGGTGCAGCGTTATCCTTTGAAAGTCTGCAATTTATCATCCTGGCCTGCTATATTAATTACTTCAGTATGGTCTGCATTGGTTTTTTATTTCTAATTATCTTTACTTTGGGTTCGGACTGCATTTCTGCCCTTCGTAGACTGTTTTTTGAAGAGTTTGTTATCCAGCCGAGGATAACTGGACATTGGGGCCAAGTTGGAGGCATTAAAGGGAATTTAGTCTACTTTTGTGACTTTGTTATTTTTGTGTCACGCCCCGGGTCATCACACAAAGTAACAACAATGATGCATTGGGTGATCTGCAAGAAATACCATTTGCCTGTAGGCAAGGTGGGACCATAAAATAGAGACCGTAATAGAAATTGAAGAAGCTAAAATATTCTGGGACTTTAGAATTCAAACAGACAGGCACTTGCCGCATAACACGCCCGTCCTAACAGTTGTTGATAAGAAAGTCCGGATAGTGGACATGGCAGGACCTGGAAATAGCAGAAGAGAAGAGAAAGAACTGTAGAAGATCACAAAATACAAAAACCTGCAAATAGAAATAGAATGACTGTGGCAGAAGCAAGCAAAAATAGTACCAATAGTACCTTGGCAAAAATAGTACCAATAGTACCTTGGGTGCAATCCCAAAGCAAATGGAGCACTACTTGAACACTATCGCAATTAATAAAATCACCACCAATCAGTTGCAAAAGCAGCTTTACTCAGAAGTGACAATACCATTAACACTATTAAACTCTTATATCTGACTGTCCCAGGTCCCTGGGAAGGACTCAATAGCTGGAAAAAAAAACATCCAAATCCACTAAACAAATGGCTGACTCTGTGATCAACCATAATAATAAATAGCTGCTATAGAGATTTATTTCATGCAGACTAAGATGAGCAAATAAAGTGATAAAAGTTTTCAAAAAATGCCAGTGTTTCGATTATGCAAATATAGTCACAAGCCACAAACACAAAAGTGAAGTGGTTATCTGTTACTTTATTAATTGAGAGTGACATTTACAAGTAATGAAGTCCTTAGTTAGGATTTTGCAATAATAGGTGTGTTCCTATTTAAGATTATTGTTATCCTGGATGTACAGTGGAAACATTGATTGACAGTAATGCACTAAGCATCTTATTCATCCATCTAAATCTTATGCCTCACTAGTACAAGGTTTTATTTCATTGTATAATCATTGGAATATATGTCATCTATTTATATAGTAATGCTGTCTGTTTCTGTCTGACAGAATGAACATCAGTTTTATTTTGCATTCTTAGAAAATTTAGCTATGAGCATTAAACATATGATAATTGAATATTTTTATTACCCCTTTTCAACATGTTACAAATATACAAAATATAAACACATGTATAATACATACTTAGGTAAAAATGACTAGATAAAACTAATTAGTGACCCTACCTGAATGTTAGGCTCATATAATTAGGCTTATTAAGCATCATCAATAAATCTTTCCAAACCAATCTAGAAACTTGGGAGGTGTGTGTAAAATGCTTTTATATTATACAGGTAGTCCAAACTAAACAACAGTTCGTTTAGCAACCGTTAAAAGTTACAATGGCACCAAAAAATGAGACTTATGACTGTTTTTCATAGTTATGACTTTGCAGCATCCCGATGCTCATGTGACCAACATTCAGATTTCTTGGCAACTGGTTCATATTTATGACTTTTGCTATATCTCAGGGTCATGTGGTCATCTTCTGACAACCAGGTTACTAACATATCAACTGCAGTGATTCACTTAACAGCTGTGGCAAGGAAGGTCATAAAATGAGGCAAAACTCACTCAATAAATGCCTCGTTTAGCAACATAAATTTTGAGCTCAATTATGGTCATAAGTCGAGGACTACCTGTATTATTGTTTCTTATTTCTGTATAACTTCTGAATGGGGATGATTGCAGACCTTTTTATGGCATTATTTTCTCATAATACACCATTCAGCCTTGAATTACGACATCCAGGTGCTTTTTGTAACTACTGTTAACCTGAACATGAAGTTCCAACCAGCCACCTAGTCTGCCAAGTAATTGGGAACCTATGAGCCAATTCATTTATAATGGAAATACAGAAAGAGATACTTGACAGTTAACAAAAACATACTGCCTCTCACTGAATTCCATTTCTAGGATTTTTGATAAATGCATTAGTTTTTCTCTCTCTAAAATGTCAGAGAACTATAGGTAAAATAACATGACAAATATAGTGCCTAACAGCCCAATCTGTGCTCTGTGTACTTAAGAAGAGGCGTTGGCATCAGTAGTGGGATTCAATTATTTTTTACTACCAGTTCTGTGGGTGTGGCTTGGTGGGCATGGCAGGGGGAGGATACTGTAAAATCTCCAGTCAGAGGTGATATTTGCCAGTTCTCTGAACTACTCAAAATTTCCGCTATTGGTTCTCCAGATCTGGTCAGGACCTGCTGAATACCACCTCTGGTTGGCATGTGAAACGATTTTTAGTAGCATACTAGTTCACATGTAACACTTTTTGTAAATCTTGTTCCTGACATCTCCTGTTTAAATAGCATTTTTTTCTAATGCAGGTCTTAATGCATTTACATGAACTTTCTTTCAAAATGTGACAATAGTAAGCAGGATACAGATTCCGGTTTCTGTTACTGTTTTCTTAATAACTACAGTAAGTCATCATAAACCACAAGATAAACAGAAAATTCTTCTAAGATTTTTAGTATGTTTTTAAAGGCAACACAGAGCTTTTAGAGAAATAAAAGATATTTGGGGTGTATAAGACACACACACACACACACACACGCACACACACAAACAAAAGGACACAAACTTTAAATTTTGGTATTCTGCTTTTGAAGACTGAAAACTCTTCAAACATAATAAGCCATTGGCAAGTCATCAGCATAACATTTAATAGTTAATATGATATCATCTAACAATAATTATTAGACTACAGGACTATATTTTCTTTTCTGTGTAATCATCATTTATCTCTGGATGAAACAAAAAAAATTTTTTTGCTAGTGGCATAATTGGATTATGCCATAAAGATTACCATAAAATGTTGGAATATGTGGATTATGTATCTAGTTAAACACTGTAGATTATGTATCTAGTTAAAAACTTGTATTTATCACAAGACTAGATGATGAAATTAATCTCTATCATTTTCCTAACCTTTATCCCCGAGACGCTCTCAGCCACGTTGCCAAGGGGAGAGGCATATTTCAGCACAAAACATGGGATTGCAGCCATCCAGAGGGTTGCTGTTGTTTTTTCATTTCTAAAGATGCCTCTAAGGTCTATGAAGAATTTAAGATTATTCTTGAAAGGGTTTATTTTTAATTTATTTTAAAAGATTATAGCTATCCCTCTTACAAATTGTGACTCTGGGAAGCATATCAACATAGTCAAAGTAAATGAAAACCCCAAAAGAAAAATGAAAATAGTATCCATACAAAACTAAGAAGAAAATCTACACAAACAACCAAACAGCAACACTCCGCTCCGTGTGTGTGTACGTGTGTTTGTGTGTGTGTGTAATTGAGCCCAAAATTGACTCAGTGTGTGTGTGTGTGTAATTAAGCCCAAAATTGCCTGATTTTATGACCCTCTTGCCACAATTGTTAAGTGAATCACTTCAGTCGTTAAGCTAATAACATCGTTAAGTGAATCTGGCTTGTCACATTGACTTTGCTTGCCAGAAGGTCGCAAAAGGACCCCAGGACACTGCAACTGTCATAAATACATGCCAGTTGCCAAACACCTGAGTTTTGATCATGTGGGGATGCTGATAATTGTAACTGTGAAAAATTGTCATAAATCAACTTTTTCAATGCTGTTGTAATTTCAAATTTGTGTGTGTGTGAGTGTGTGTATGTTTATATGTATATAGGCATATATGTGTGTGTGTGTGTGCGCACACACACACACACATATATTACATACACGCACGTGTATATACTGTATACATATATATGTGTGTGTGTGTGTGTGTGTGTGTGTGTGTATGTCTGTGTGTGTGTATAAATATTTATATAAATAAATGAATTGAGGATGGTACTAAGGCATTTATATCACAAAACAAGCTCATTTACCAGTCTTGCCCAATATACAGAAGAAGAGCCAGGTCTTCACAGCTTAATGGAAAGCCAGTCAGTCAGGTCATCTTAACATTGGGGGAAGCTCATTCCAAAAAACAGTCACAGTAACAGAGAAAGCCCTTCTGCTAAGTTATAAGATGAATTTATAGGACACAAGCAATCACTCTTCCAGTATCTTCATTGTCAGTTCTAAGGTTGGTTATTGTCCCTGATGTCATTAGTTGCCTTTATATTTAATCTTAGTCACATTTTTTTCACTGTGCTGCTTGATTATTATTAG